AACCACTCTCCTAGTAAAGAACTTCCCCCTAACATCCAACCTAAATCTTCTATGATGGATATGGATTCTATGATCCACCACCCAACCCCGCTGCGCCCTTCAAACAAAGCTCACCAGGAAGGCAGTTTTTCAGCTTCTCGCTCCTCCAGCGATGAGGAGCTGCAGGAGAAAGGCTGCTTGATGAGAGCTTTGTGGCAGGAGATGGCTCGGGGACTCAGGAGCCTGAGGGCAGGGGAGGGGGCTATGTCACCCAGCGCATCGCATGGTCTGATGGCATGGCATGTGCCCATGGTGCTGAGCTCTGCGACGGGGACGCGGCCACGGTTTGCTCCCGAGGCAGCAAACACCCTGTGCCTTTGCCCTGTCCTCCATGTCTCTCCCAGCTGTCATGGCCCAGCCCGTGAAAGACAACAAAAAAAAATATATGTTTATATCTATCTATTCAATCAATGTCTATGGAGCTTAACGCAAAGGGATTACCAGCCCGTTTAGAGCGTTAGTGACTCTCAGCTTTCACCGGAGGAGAGTATTGGGTTGAATTGAAGCCAGCCTTTGATGGGATTGGAGAATAATTATTTCCATCAATAATTACTTCCAAGCCCAGAAGAAATGGTCCCCAGTGTGTAGCAGGACAGCAGCCCTTGGTTGCCTTCAGGCTAATGTGTTTCAACACCGAGACCTGAAATGCCATTAGTGGGGACATCACCCACTGTGCCCAGGGAGGGCCCCCATCCGCACCATTGGAGCTGCTCCAGCTTTGCACAGGTCATTAATTTGGGGACATTTTTAATGGATCCTAATGACTGAGCCTCAGAAGACTGTTCTTAAAAGGGGGTTGGGAAATGCCACAAGCTAATTAGCTCACACAAAGAAAGCAATTAACCATGTAGCTTCCTGGATGGTTAAAAATAACACAGATAATGGGAAAAGACTGGGAGATTTTTTACAAGCAGAATAATAGATTTTAAAGCTGGAGGGACCATCAGATCTGCCAGCATTACCTCTTGCATGTGATGGGTGGGAAATATTTTCTCCAGCTTCATCCCATTGACCCCCAGCGCATGTGTTTGCCTAATGTTCATCCCTAAACCTTCAGGCATTGCAAACTGTGCTCCAAGAAAGAAAGGGCTGCTAGAAAAGGTGGGGTTTTCCTGAGAACACGGGGTGATATAGGAATGAAGTCTCTTCAACAGATGCTCCAGCCCCCAGAATTGTGATTCTCATGACAGGGGCAGGCAGAAAGATGTTCCCAGGGACTGCAAGCCTCTGGCCATGGCTAGCTGGGGCTGACGTGCTGCTTCCCCATGGAATTGCACTTTAGCTTCTTTCCTGGCACCACTGAAGCCCCAAGATGTGCAACACTCTTGGTCCTGGCCCTTTGGCACATATTTGGTGACTGTGATGGTTTCCAAAGCCGAAATGCCTGGTTGGGCTCAGCCTTGCTGATGCTTCCTTTGTTTATCTGTGTAATGCTCTGCACGACACCAAAAATGTGATGTTCTCATTCCCCACTGGGTATGGTTTACGACTTTCCATTAGTGCTTCCATTCTTTGATACAAATACCTGCAGGGCTCTACTCACACGGGCTCCCTGGGGCTTGTGCAGGCACCTGCACGGCTCAGGTGGTTCCCTTTGTTTTCTAGCTCTCTTATTGCTCTTTCTGGCCTCTTGCCACGCAGTGGGACGCTCAGCTGCCTGCCGTACTCTGCCGAGGATCGACGTCCTGAGAAGCTGAGCAGCTGTGTGTCCAAGGAGACCTCCACCACTAACGGCTGGGCAAGAGGGAAGGAGAGACGCGGCCATGCTCACCACAGGTCACGCAGGTAGGGACAGGGCCACCTAGCCATGAGGTTCGGTGAAAGAAACGTCATCCTCATCCCTGCTGAGTCTGTGAGATCTGGGCAGGGGTTGGACAACCGTGTGAACCGCCGGCATCCCATGTGCTACGGGGCACATAGGTTCCTCCTGGCTGTGGATCACCCTCAGCAGTTCCCATCTCCCATGCCTAGATCAGAGCAGCAGCACTGCCTTAGCTAGGATATCGCTTTGTTATCTGTATGCTGTTAGCCCCTGACAACTTGCAAAGGTAAAAATGAATGAAGCTTGCTAAGCAAGGCAGCTGGGGTCTCAGCCTTTGTTGCTGAACTGGGATTAAGGCCTTTCTGTTTGGTTAAAGATGCTGGAAAGAAAGGGACAGAAAGTGCATTTACTATCTTCAGATGTCAGGCTAACTGGAACAATAATCTAAAGTGTATTTTTAATTAGACTCTGATTACAATCACAGAGGAACAATTAAAGTTAGATCAGCTCAGGGAGGAGGCTTCCACTTCAAAGACAAAAGGCTTCATCTTGGGAGCAGGGGGAGGGCTCCAGGCAGGCTGCCTATGGCTGAGCACACAGCCTGGAGGTTCTCCATGCCCTGGCACAGACATGGCAGGAGCTGATGATGGCCTGAGATGAGGAGGGGGCTGAGCTGTGCTGAAGCCTACATCCCACATCCCTATGAGGATGGCTTTCCAACACGAGGTCCCAATGGTGGCACCTCCATCCAGTGGGATGAGCAGTAGGGATGCTGAGGCATAGACCCTGTGCTCTAGTTTCCATCATTCACTGCCTTTCTTTAGGGTCACCAGCCCCCATGCATTTCATATTTTCAGCGCAGTGCTCCAAATTAATTAAGTGCAGCGTTTGCTTTTTGCTGAAATGTAACACAATTTAAAAAGAAATTAATTTACAGCTTTTTTCCCCCCAAAGTTTAACCACCGTGTAAGAGATGCTTATCTCACTAAATCACCATAGCACATCAATAAATACATATTTTTCTAATCAATTGCTATTTAACATTTGCCATGTCTTATATTACTGTTAAATTCACTCGGTCTCAATAATTATTGTATGCAAATCAAATGCCGATTAATTATTTAAAACATATTTACAAAGCAGCAAAACCCATAAATCTGTCATGGAGTTGTTAACCTCAGCAAGCTCATTTCAAATAACCAGCTGGCATCGCAGCCACGTACAGTGTCTGTCTCATTATATCTCCATTAAACCCATGGAGGAGGCGCTCAATTTCAAGTGAGGGTAATTAGAGGGTAATTAGGTGCCCTGATCTGTCCCGGTCTGCCCTCAGGTAGGGATGGTGGCATGCGGAGGTGAGCAACCCCAAGTGAGGTCATTCTGAGGGTGTTTTTATGCATTTATTTTAAAACCTTGTTTGGCTTTATCCCCCCTCCTCAGCCCCTCGTGTGATGGGGAACGTGCACCGCTGCCAGCCCGGGGCAAGAAGAAGAAGAAGAAGTCCAGCCGCAAGAAGCGACGGAGGTGAGGGCAGCCATGTTGGCCTGGGCCTTGCCTTATGAGCCTCATGGGGAAGGTGTGAGGGGCTGGGCTCTGCCAGCCATCCTCCTGCCCTCCCCTTACACCTAAACAGGGCTCAGCCCCAGCTCTGCCCAAGCCCCAAAGCCCAGTGGTGGGGTGCAAATTGGGCAGCCCTGGGGGTGAGGGGCTGTGCTGGCCCTGATGCCTCTCTGCTCCCCCAGGTCTCCTTCCTACAGCCCCTCTCCTGTGAAGAAGAAGAAAAAGAAGAGCTCCAAGAAGCGAAAAAGACACAGGTATTTCTCCTTCGAGGTGTTGTGGTGATGCCTTGGGTTCTGAAAGCCGGTTTTTATAAAGAGAGTGATGAAATTCTGGAATTGCAAATATTTCACTGTCTTCTCCCAGCTGTTAAACCAATATTTGCAGAGAATAGTAGATGCCATCTCCCTTGGAAAGTTCATGTATTTATAATTTATTGAATGAGAGCGAGAAGCTACTGAAAGTGGTGAACAGAGTGAAAAGCAGCCCTTTTTTTGTTATGGAAAAAGGTGGAAGGGAGGGAGAGTAGAAGGAGATAGAAATGCCTCTAAAATATATCTTATCCATCTCGGGTCAGATGCTTGTCATTTTTACACCTGTAGTGCTCATTTGTGGCCCTGCAAGCTGAACTGTAGCTTATAGTTCATCCCAAAAGGCATCGTGATCAACCATTGAGCGTTAGTGGAGGTCATTTCCAGATACCACTCAACTACAGATCCCAACTGGCCTTGTCTTGGGCCATCTCATGGCCCTTCTAGACAGGACTTCAGGCCATGTCTTCTGCAGTTCTAGGAGCTCAGGTGGGACAGGAGGCAGCGTGCAGGGGGCTCACTGGAAGGAAGTATCCCCCTCTATGCTCCCAGGTTTTTCCAAGGGCCACCAGCATGGTGGTTCCTACAGGCATGTTCCAGTAGGGAAGACATAAAGCTGGTTTGGCTGTGAGCCTGCTTTGGAGTTTTGCAGAAAGGATTCCTCCTTTGACTGCTGCTCAATCCTTTGTACAGAAGATCAGGGTCTAGACTCTCCTCTACAACTTCAAACTCAGCGCAGTGTAGAGTCAGTAGTAGAGAAAAGTGATCCACCAGGGACAGTGGAGGTGTTTGATTCTACAGAAAATGATATGCTCAATTATTTGCAGTGTGCCAGTGACTTCCACCAGCATCAGCTGCCCTGTTAGCTGCCTCGTTAGCCCAGCTGGCTAAAAGGGAGTCAGGGCTGTCCAGCTGGTGCGTTGTTTCCTTAATGCTCAGCCTCAAGATGGGCCTTACCAGATTGTCTCTGATTCAAACTTCCAGTTTTGTAAGATGCTGTACTCAGTGTGCACCTTTGTGTCTTGCAGGTTATCCTCAAAGAAGAGAAGGCACAGGTAAGAGTTGAGCACGTGTGGGCGATCCCCTACAAATGGTCTCCTCAGGATCTCACAAGTTTGATGTTCACCGTGTGAAGGCAGAAATCACTTCTGTGCCTCTTTGTGGAATCCCCTTGGTTCCCCCATCCCTTGTGGGTCTCACAACCTCGTGCATGTTGGATACTTTCTGCATCTTGAGCCTTCATTCCTCTTACGGTTTTGCCTACAGACAGCATGCATTCCCCAGCAGTGGGGAAACATTCCAATTCAGTGCCTTTCCAGGTGCATACTAGAAGAACTCTCCTGATTCCAGTGCACGCATTCGTCTTCTCTATGGGAAACTGTAAAGCCAGAAGGTTGGCTGATGCCATGGGGACTGTGTCCAAGCCCAGGTTTCTCATCAAGAGCTGAGACCCCCTGTGTCAAGGCAGAACCAGTCATCCCTTCAGTTTTATAATTGCATGTTTTTGGGCAAATTAGATGTAATGTTGATGTGTCATTGAGCAAAAAAAAAAAATAATATATATATATATATATATTATTATATATATATATATTATTATATATATATATTATATATATATATATTATATATATTATATATATATATATATATAAAAATCAGAACAGAAATCTCCAAATTAATTAGCCATTTCTTATTTAGTTCCTCAAGCCCCAAAAGTAAGAGAAAGGAAGAAAGAAAACACAAAAAACAGTAAGTAGTGATTCACAATATTCTCTGCCCTGCCAGTTGTGAGCAGAAGGTCCAGCTCTTCTGATGAAGGCAGTATGAGACCCAGCTCTGCATGCCCTCACTGAGGGGGGCTTTAGTTCTTCCTTGTTTGCTGCTTTCAGAGGTTACACAGGGATTGCTAGTGATATAACCAAATATCCAAATGGGAGCAGAAAGCAATGGGGGCTGGGGAAAAGAAGAGGTTGTTTAGAGATGATGGAGGCTGTTGAAATATGGAGTTGAGGTTCCCATCTGCTCTGGTGTGTGCAGAAGACAAGCACAATATTTGTCTTAAGGGGCAGACAGGAGTGTGGTATGAAACACAGTTCTTTGAGGCCAGGAGGAGGGCCTGTATGACTTCCATTTTGCAACTTGTGGCTTCTCACCTGCTTTCAGAGCACAGAAACAGCTCTGGGGCTGAAGCCTGGGCATCAAACCCCTGGCTGGCTCTGCTGGGACTCAGCACACCCTGCTAGGGAAAGAAGAGCTGGCAGACAGGGATTTGCTGTCTGATTGGTATTAGCAAGGCCTGCCCTGTAATTCTTCCCAACACAGCCTTTACTCTTAGGAAAGGAACAGAAGGACAAGAGCCCCTAGCACTGCTAATGTCACCTTGCTGCCCATTGGGACTGAAGAGACTAGAATCCACGAGGTGCTGCCTTCACCTCCATTGCATGCAGAAATCCCATCTCCTTTTCTCTGCATACTGCATGTGCAGTAATGCACTCACTGCTTTCTTCCCGCAAACTGAGCTGCTGTGTGCCCAGAGATCTTACAGATCATTGATAAAGCTGAAGCTTTCTTGATTACCTGTATAAGAAGGCACTTCCACGCACAACAGTGCTGGCCAACCTGCGTTAGCCAGTTAGTGTGGTGAGAACAAAGATTGGATGCAGTAACGCACTGAGGGAGGGGAATGAGAGCTTCTGGGATTGCTCTTTGGGTATAAACCACCCAGGGCTCTTTAGTCCTCATCTTTCAACTCAGAAATCAGAACTGAGTCACTCGTGGTTTCTCCATGCCTCCCCGTTGCTCCCAGGTGTGGATCAGTGAGATCCCATAAACCAACTTGAATCAGGATTTGGCTTATCCTTGTTATCTAAACCACATGGGAGCAGTCTGTCCTTCCTGAACATGGGGGAAAAAACTCTTAAACTGGAGAGACTGATGCAGAAGGTGAAGAGAAAGCATGGAGGGAGGGAGAGGCAGTCAGTGCTGCTGACTTCAGCTTTACAGAAGGAAGGAAGCTCCCCAAATGTAAAATGCTGGAAATACAATTATAGTGTATAAAAAGCATCAGAGAAAACAGCCAACCAGAGTTCAAAATTGCCCTCATTGTTGCCCTTTTGTTTTAGAGGAGATACTGTGCTCAGGCAATTGGTTCACTGATTTCTTATGGTGCCAAATTGTTAAATGCTGCCCAGGCAGGTATGTTAGCAGTGTCAGTTGCTGGTACAGCGTGGCCATGAAACCAGATTGTTCCTGTCAGCTAACCCATCATCAGCTTTTTGTGCTGGCACAGCAGTGCCAGGCTGAGCAGATGGTTACACACCAGACCCAAAATAGCTGCTGTGGTGGGCACTGGGCATGACGAGAAGGAACAAGCACAGAAGGTTTCAGAGCCTGCCATTCACATAACTCTGCTCCCTGAGTGCAGGACTGGGGCTTTTGGCAAGGACAGCACCAGGCCTTCAGTAATGGGGCCAGGTCCATCTGTAACAGCCCAAATGGAGCAAGGGGAAGAGCAGCAGGACAGTGAACCCCTGTCTGTGTGCAGTTTGCTGGTCCCTGTCCTGTGGCCATGTAAGAGAATGGAGCAGCAGCATCTGGGCACCTCTGAGAAGTCAAATAAATGGTCCTGTGCCCTCAAGCAGAAACCGTGCATAGTGTAGGCTGCAGTTATGGAGGCTGTGTTTCATGTTTATATCAACAATAAGAGCAGTTTATAGGACTGGCTGGACCCTCTCATCTTGAGAAGTGGGGGAAAACTGGTACCCAGTGTCCTGTATTATGGGGAATCTGGGAGGGTTTGAGCTTGGCATTGGGCTGCTCGGACAAGTGGTTCTCCCCAGACAAGGCTTAGCAATGGGCTGTCAGGATGGGCTGCAGGATGAAGGGGGAATGGGTGACGTAGCTCTTTAGGGTCTTGAAAGCAGAAAGGATTGGTGCTGCCTGCTGCGCTCCTGTACACTTGTCCATAGATCTTCCAGCATGGCGCAGAGGCAACCTAACAGCTTGTAGCTAAATGCTAGCATAGATCTCAGAGAGATGACATGCCTTGATGTCAGGGCAGCTGTGAAGGGATGGAGAGTTTTTCATACCTTTGTGTCCTTTGCAATGTCTCACGCACCAATCCCTTTGCTTTAAAATGCAGATCTTGTTTCTGATCTAAGTGCCGTTGACTTTGGCCTCCAACTGCTGGGTCTTACAGCCTAGGTCTGCTATCTAACCACAGTTTCTTCTCTGCTTCCCAAAGCTCTCGTGGGCGCACCCGGAAAGCTCACCGCCACCGCCGCTGCCACTCTCGCTCAGAGAGCTCTGACTCCTATTCCCCGAGCTGCCGGAGCAGGTAATGTCACCGCTCGCTGGGCTGCTGCCCTGTAGCACTGCAGTGAGTCAGGAGTGTGACTGCAATGGCTCGTGTGCCCCACTGGCCCTCTGGGCAGAGCCACATCCCACTCTGGTAGCTGGGTGTTGAGCTCTTCGTGGTCACGGCCATAAAACAGAAGGTTTGGGCTCAAGAAGTGGTGGCTGCATCTTCTCAGCCTAGCAGTCACTTCTAATCCTCATGGCTGAAGATCAGCCAGTGACAGCTGATTTCAGCCCAGTCTGCCTTTCCCACCCCAGGGCTCTGTACTGCCAATGTCCCAGGAAAGCTTCAAGCTTGTTCTTAGCAATGGAAATGTATTTGCCAATGGGCATCCTATGGCCACTATCTTTGACCTGATTAAAATCTCTTTCCTGTAGATGACAGATGCATCCTGAGGCCAGCTGAGTGGATGCTGGTGCTAGACCCGCATCACTGCAATAGCAAATTGCATAGCTGTGCACATCGTGAGCTTGTTATGTGTTGTTTGAAAGAGTTTTATGAACAAACCACTCCCTCTGTCCCACTCCGCTCCTTCTAACTACTGAGAATCTTCTCATGGAAGCCTGGTGATCAGTGCAGGGAGGAATGCAGGCAGTAATAGGTGGGAAGTTCATGCAAGTGCAGAGTGTCTTCTCTTGGAGGTGTATTGCCATAGGGACATTCAAGGCTGTGCGGAAGCTGTAAGCCACCATAAAATTAGGAATACTGGAGCTGACGTTTGCTTTAAACTTGAGGTTTAAAACCCAAACCCCACCACCACATCTCCTGGCTGCAAAGCAAAATGTTTTTAAAGCAAGGAAGCAAAATATTCCCTTTCACTCTGTCCCGACTCCACAGAGGAGACGAGGGTTTGCGTGCGGCTGCTGGTGGGCGCTGCTGCAATGCTGAGGATAACGCTTTGCTTCTCCATGTTTTCTGGAGGCACAGAGCCAGGTCTCGGGAGGAAGGGCGTAAAGCACGGCGGAGACGCTCCCAGCACCGTGCAAAAGTCCCAGCAAAGAGAAGCTCCTCTGCAGAGGTTCAGGCCAGCCAAACCCTCCCACTGCACAGCTTCCTGTCTCCCAAGGAAGTCGTAAGTATTACGCTCTGTGCTTCTTGGCTTTCAGTAGCCACGGGAATACGGGTGAGAAGTCTGACATGAAATTTTTGTAACTGGATTATAACGATGTGAGACAAAATTTGGTTAAAACAGCATTACTTATTAATGGTGCTGTTCTCCAAATGTATTTAAAGTCATTCCTTCCTTCAGCGCTTCCTCTTCAAGAGTGGGGTTGGAGAGGGGAAAGATTTGCCGAGTCTCTAGCCACTGAATATTGAATTGAGGACACTTAACATTAAAAAAAAAAAAAGAAAAAGAAAAAAAAATGTGGCCTTCAGCAATGATATTTCGCAGGGATGTGTTTGTTATGCAGTCTTTGCTCAGCTGAATTCGAACTTAATTCATCAGTCTTCATGTCCGAAAGTTTAGTCCTTTAGGGGTAAAAAAGGGAATCAGACAAAGATAAAGGAAATATTTACATTTAATGAGTTGGTGATTATTGGCAGGGGATGTTTTCTATTGGGATCCTTCTGAGATCGCTGTTGCTCTGGACTGACAAGCCCAGGGGCCAACTTGAGAGCTTGTGTGCAGCTCTCATTGATGCTAATGGGAACTGCAAGTGCAGCCGAGGGTGAAGTCAGTCTCAGTGCCTTGGGATGTTTTTCCATATACATGGAAAGAGATGATATAATACATGCCTTAGAACAGAGGGAGCAAAAACAGAGAGAAATCTTAGATAGCGATTGGTATGAAATCTTTTTTTCCCATGGCACATTTCCCCCTTGTTCCCAGTAGCTGCCAAGCAGAGGTGTGATGCTCTTTGATCAGTGTTAGCATCTGATGGGTGTTCTGGAGAGGGGCACTGCTACACAAGACTTGAGGTAACGCAGAACCTGGTGCTTGTGTGTGGTTATGGAATGCTACCAGTGGCTTGAGTGGAGTCCTCTGAGCCCTGAAGTGGTATAGAGTGGGGGACTGACTTTCTCCTCTTAAGCCCTGTCCTGAACTGGAAATAGCTCAGCCATACCTCAAATAGAGGAGATAGTCCCAGCAAGAGGAGGCTCTTTCTCTGCTCACCTGCACAGCTGGCATTTCAATCACAATACACAGAGATCCTATATGGATACAGACAGGCCACAAGCTGTCTCCCAGAGTCACAGATGCATACTCACTCTTGTCACAGACACCCACTGAGTGTGTAGTGCACAATTGAGTCATTGCTTATAAAGCCGTATAAGGCAGAGCACAAGTAGCAGAACCTGCATGCTGTGCTTATGTGTGCATCCCTACAGCAGCAAATGCAAAGAAGGAAGGACAAGAGCTTTCATTGCCACCGGCCTGGGGTGGCACCCTGTGTCAACTCAGCAAGGTCAGGGTGGGTGAGTTAATAAGGCAGGGAAACCAATGGCAGAAAGACCTTTACTCTGCAGTCCACTGGTGTCCTCTCTCTTCCCAGACAGAAGTATGCTCTCTTGGGACATTGTTCAAGAACACATTTATGCACTTGTTTAAATTGAAGCCCCTGACGAAGTGCTGAATAAGGTCTTTAAATATCACATGCTCAGAACCAGCAGGGAAAAATGGAATGGGAGCCTTCAGTCTTGTCTGCTAATGCTATACAGTCTGTGTCACACCCGTTGGCCTGGGGTTCCAACAAAAACCCTCCTGGTGTGGGGAGATTCATCGTGATATCTCCAAAGGAAAGTGATGGTCCAGGGAGGGCTCTGACACACAGAAGAGACCCAGACAAGCAATACACAGACTTCCTTGAGGCAATGTTACAGCATTTCCAAATCTATTTTTAAAAATTATTTAATTTTAAGCCAGGTTTTATTCTACTTTCTTCTGAAAAATGGAAGCTTTCTGCGGTAAACTTTGTCTCCACGCATTTTGTCCCTTCATTTCTATTGGAATGACCACATCCAGCTCAGTTTACCTGCAATCTGAGGGATGAAGCACACAGAGGAGCACCCTGTCCACGCGTCTACCTCACTGCTTCTTCCCTTCTTGCCTTTATGTGCAAGTTGGTGCATGCACGAGCATGCGCACATGCAAAAACACCCCCAGAGCTCCCTGCTTCTTTTGAGCAATGAATTTCCAAGCTTCACACACTCGTTTTTTCCTTTAATCACACGCAGCCACAATAGGCACCTGTTGAGAAAGAGGATTGTGAGGCTGTGCCTCAGCATGCAGAGAAACTGGTAATAGGCTGCTGCTATATCTGAACATTAACAGCAACCCCCTGTCCTGCTGCAGACACCATTCTGCATTGGCACAGATGTATTCCATGCCCTTGTGCTTCTGGTTGAGCAGAGCAATATAAATACCTGCAGGGTGTGAGCTTAATTGCCTTTTGTTGTACCTGATGAAGATAACTGCACACAGCATCTACCTTCCCTGCCAGCTCCTTTGCTTTCACTGAAGCTTGTTTGCAATGTCACTAATTAACACAGGCTTGACCCAAATTTTCAAGGAGGCTCAGTGGGGTCTGGTTGTTCCAAGCAGCACTGCTTGTGCTGGCGTGCCTGCGGGGAGGTACAGGTGGGACAACGCAGTGCAGGGATGGTGACAGCGTGTACAGGGGGGCAGGGGGAGGCTGATAGCATGCCTGCAGACTGCATTGCTCTTGCTCTCTGTTTTCCAGCCTGGGTTGTGGTTTCTATAGGAAAAGCTGCTCTTTTAACTGCTGCATGCCATGTTTCTGATGACAAACAGGGCTCTTCAGGAGCTGGAAGGCAAAGCTTTCCCTAAACATTAAAGCCTCGCTCTTTTGCTGATCCTCTCAGCCAGAGGACTGAATGTACCTCTGGTTATCACCTGATAAATCTGCAGCTCAGTGCTCAAGCAGAGGCAAGAGAGTGTGCAGCCATGAGAGGAGCAAGCAGCGCCCCAGGTACCCAAAGGAAGCAACGTGATGCAAGCCCTCATCCCAAAGCTGTGCCAGACCAGCCCAAACCAAGGGGATGTGCTCACTGCAGCAGGCGGAGAGGAGTTTTGCACTGATGTCAGCTCAGGCAGAGGGTTAGCAGAGCCCGGCCCATCTCCCCATTGAAGGCAGCCCTATGGGCCCCACTCCCTGCAAGGCAGCAGGTGCTGCGGTGGCAGCTGTCAGCGGGGAGCAGGGGTCACTGCTGCAAGCTTTGTGTGCCTTTCATCGGCACAATGCGTGGACAGACAGAGGGAGGGAGACATTATGCACTCCTGAAAAAGAAATTAACTCTTGTTTTGCGACTCGTTTCAAAGCAGAGAAAAAGACCCCAGAAAAACCCTCTGGCGATGAGCGAGGCTGCGCCGCGCTGCTCACTGATGGGCCTCGGTCCCCTTATGGCTGAGAAAATTTATAGTCCTGTCTCTCCTCGAGGCTGTTTGAAGCACAGTAAATGGACTCGTTCATTTTAATTGGAAGACGAGCAGTGATTGCATTGTTGTAAGCCATTAGGCTGCACCGCCTCTTGATCTAGGAGCGCGCTCAGCATTGCGTTCTGAAGCATCAGGGCCTCGTTTCTGCTCGTCCCTTCATCTTGCTTAAATAATGATTCGAAACACAAAAAACAACAAACCCAAACAGTAAATACATATCTTGGGTTCTCTTGACGGCAGCAGTGTGTCTCACACCAAAATCATTGAGATTATTTAATTACTTAATAGAGGGGGGAGGGGGAAATGCCAAATGTTCACACATTGAAAATTAGATTCACAGGAGACCAGACTCTTTTGAGACACCCTAGAAAAATAAAAAGCCATTAGAATTCAACTGAACTCTGCAGCGCCTTCAGATGCAGCTCGTGGTTCCCATTTTGTGCAGCAGGAAAATGGAACCAGAGGTAGAGCCAAGGTCAACAGATGGGGGCATTTGCCTCTGCCCAGCACCTCAATGCTTGTCCCACCTCCTACCACAGGGCAGAAACCACAGGCCAGGCCTTCCAGCCCTCACAAGGACGTATTCCACTTCTATCCGTGTTGCCTCTTCCCAGAGTGCTGTTATTGCAGTGGTGGAGCTACAGAGGGGCACTGGGGGCTCACTGGGTAGATTTTGGGATGCGCTGACAGCAGCTGTTACTTCAGTGCAAGCAAAACAAGAGTTCCTAGCAGTCCTAGGACCCATGGGTTGAAATGCCAAGAAATGGGTGGATTTCTTGGCTGGGAAGAGCTAAAGGCTGTTTGGTTTGGACTGGGAACAGAGGTGAGGGAGATACACATGCCCACCCCCAGACTCCCACCTCTGGAGTCAGGGAGTGCTTCACGTGGTGTTTTTATGCCTGTAAATGAAATGTAGCCAAAAGGTGGCTGCCTCCCAGTCAGGGTTCAGGTATAACACTAGCCAGAATCTTTAGAAAACATCTGGGAAGCCACATCCCTCGTGTCTTTGGGTGCAAAAGAGAGCAGGGCCGGACCCCCCGGCTCTGTTACACTCCTTTGACATCTCTGGAGTAAACTTATTCTGGAATAAACAAGAGCTGGCAGAGAAATGGCAAAGAGCAGCACCTGTGTTGCAAACCCTGGGGCCTGGAGGAGGCTGCACAGGGTGCAGATGTGCCAGGTCTGTGTTTGTCCTTAATGCTTCCCATCACAAGGGCAGGCATTAGCACTCGTGCCTCGCTGACTGGTGCTGGACTGGCTCTGGTAGATGCCAGTAGAGATAAAACTGAAGAGATAAGACGTTCAGATGATGGAAGTGCCCTGGTGGTGCCAGCTGACAGCCCCAGCCAAGGCAGCCAGCACAGCTGTAGGGTCCTCAGCTTCAGTAGCCCACCAAAACCATCATCCCCTTCCCGTAGGTCTCCAGTGCAGCCAAAGTGGGGGAACGTTGTTTCCCCCTCAGCTTTATTTTTGACTTCTTTGCTCGAGTTCCTTTCGCCACTTTCACATACCCGTGGGCCACCATGAAACCCAAGGGGATTGAGTGCAAGCCACGATTTTCCAGCACAAGCCATCAGCCCCCAGGAGCTGTCTGGGCAGCCTAATGTAAAGCAGAAGGAAACAAAAATAAGGAATAATAAGTGAGAGAAGCGAGCAGACAAAAAGCAGTTGTGACATTTACGTAGCAGAGTCAAGTGAACAGTTGGCAGTGTGGATTGAAGAGAGGGTTTATGTTTTTTTTATGTAATTTGAGACTCTAATGATGGACTTATGTTGCCCGCTCTTCCTTTTTTCTTACACCTTACCTACTAAAGGAGGAGTTCTTGATGGGTAAGTGGATGCTATCCGCAAGACACCAGGGAATTTATTAGAGGTCACTTGAGCGCATTAGCTATATCTTCTTCAGGGGGAAAAAAGCACACAAAGAAGTGTCTGTATACCTTTTATTTCCAGAGGGATTTTTCTTTTTTCCCCTTCTCCTTTTTTTTTTTTCCTTCTTTTTTTTCCCCCCCTTTCTTAGTTTTTATTTTCAAAGTGCTAAGCTTGTTTATTTGCCAGTTTGTACAGAAGCCCTTCATTTGATTTGCTTTGATTTTTCTTCACCTATTTTTGTAACATTCGTTCAGAAATTCACTTAATTAAGCATTTGTTTCATTTTTGTTTTCCTTCCAAGGATTAGAAAGTTTTGGTTGCTTTTTTTTTTTTTTTAATACATATTCCCTTCCACTCTCGTTTCTTTTTTTGCCCTCCCCCTTTTAGGTTAAATAAGGGCTTTTTCCTCTGTTACACCTTTTTTTATTTAGTTAGCCTGTTACTTTGATTCCTTGGTTGCCCGTTTACTTTGTTGAACTCTTTCGTTTAACATGGATCGCATGCTGATACTCTTTGCATGATCTCTAGATCTTCCCGTTATCATAGCAGGGGGAAAAGGAGTTTCTTCTTACTGTGGATTTCTTTCAGGGATATGTGCTTTTGTTTTCTTCTCTTTCTTCTTTTTCTTTCTTTCTTTCTTACTTTGTTTCTTTCCTTTTGTTTCAGTGCATCATGATGGTAAAATTTCTGGGTTTATTTAAAACATAAAAGCAAAGTAAAACCAAGAGCAACCCTCCTCAATAAAACGTTCAAACAATGCCAAATGGCTTTTTTGCTTTCAGATCTCTCAGTCAGGGTCTTCTGCTGACCTCTTTACCAAAACAGACAGCCCGCCTGGCCACCTCACCAGCCAGAACGGAGAGTGTCATGAATATGACTCAGGAAACGACACTTCTTCCCCTCCCTCCACTCAAACGAGCTCATCCAGGTCAAAGGACAGCCAGGACAAACGAAGCGTAGCCCACGATGGCTTTGGCCATGCCTTCTCATCCAGGAAGCCCAAAGTGGCCAACGGTGATAACAGCTCTGATTCAGGAAATTCCTTCACCAGTTGCTTTTCCCAGACCAAGGCAACGGCTTCGGAAAATCTGTCTCCAGATCCCCAGGGACAAGACGAAAGGTCAGTGATAATCAGCAGCTGATGCTGGTATTTGTTGCCCTGTATCTCCCGCTCGCATTCCCGATGCACCGGTGAGCTGGCAGGGAGGTTTTTGTGGTCTGGAGGTGGTTAGATCTCAATCAGACCTTGCCAGTCTGGAGTTCAGAGCCCACAGTGAGCTGTACTGGAGCCTGAGGAGGAAGATGAAAACGCAGCCACAGGTCATCATCAGGAGAAAGGAGTAGGTGCCAGCTCCATCTCTGCCTCCCTTTCCCGGGATGTGCCAGGTGGTGGTGGGGATGAAGGAGCAGAAGCATGGCAGCTGGTCCCTAAAGCTGTGCTGGGGCAGTGGTGGTTGGGAGCAATTCCACCTCAGGTCTTAAATGCCAAATGTTAGAGCCAGGGGAGTTGGTATTAGGAAGAACAAGTCCTGAATTTTCATTTGGAGGGTAAGATGTTGAGGCTGTACATACTTCTCATGCTGTGACTCCAGTGGGATAACTCTGCCTTCATATGGGTGGAGCTGGGATTGCAGCTGTTCCTTACTGTTGGGAAGCTGACCCCAATTCACATCCATGGCTCTTCTGGAAGTGCAGGGATTCCCACAACCCAATCCAAAGGCAATAGGACACGCCTGCTCGCTCTGCTCCTGGAGCACAGCCTTGCCACACTTTCCTTGCTCTTTACCCCCAACGCCTGCAGGGCATGGGGCAGAGGAGCTGACAGCCCAAATATACATTTGCAGAGGATGCCTGTCCTCGTGTCTCAGCTGTTCAGAGGAGAAGAAGCGCAGTGTCCCCCCGTCGCCAGCCCGCAGCTCCCCGCTCAGGCCGTGCCCCCGCAGCGAGTCGTGCAGCAGCACAGGACGCTCCTCCCCTGCCTCCAGCTGCTCCTCACCCCGCAGGGCCTCCCCCAGGTACTCCCGCAGCAGGTCCTGCTCTTCAGGGAAGAGGTAAGGCCAGCACAAATGGCTCTCTCCATCACTCTGGGCAGTCTCTGGCTCTTGCAGGCTGGCGGACTCCTTGGGGACGGGAGTGAGACTTTGTGTGGGTGCCAGGGAACCACGTGGCCCTTGAGATACGGGGCATCTCTCCCCACCATGAGCCTGGATGAGAGGAAGTCTGGTACAACCTCACCCTCCAGCATCTTTAGCTCTTATGTTTCTTCCCTAGCCCCAGGTCTTCTTCACGATCTCCCAGCTATTCCTCTAAATCCTGCAAAAAAAGCCCTGGAAGCAGGAGCTCAAAGACTCGCCGAAGCCCGAGTTACTCCCACTACAGCCCTACGAGGTATGACTGTCCCTACATTGTTATCTGCTGCCTCATGCTTTTCCATTGCCTCCATCACTTGCTTGTACTCCAGCCTACTTTCTGGTTCCTTCTGCCAGCTCCAAACTGCCCCCTCAGCTTCCAGGAAGGAGCAGGGAGAAATGGAGCGTGGCACATGTCCGAGCATTATGCTGATCTGCAATCCAGTGGAAATACCTTCACATTTATTGCCTCAGGGCATTCAGTGCAGTAGGGAAAGATGCTCTGCTCTTCCAAGCTGCAGCTCTGCCAAAGAGGTTTCAGACCCTGAGAAGTGTCCCTGCTGCATTGGCAGGAGCCAGGTACCCTCATGCTGGCACTCACAGAGCCATGCATGGGGAAACAGCCCAGGTAACTCTGCTCCACACCCTGCAGAAAACACACATCTCACAGCTCAGCCCTAGAGACGCCTTTGGGCAGTATTTTCTGGTAACATCTCTGCTTTTGAGCATGCTGTGAGCATTTGGCACCCTTAAAATGTTACACTCACAGGACCTGATTCTGCAAGCTGTGACAGCCCCTGTTCTGGTGCAGGAGAACATTTCCTGCATGCAAGGATCAGGCCCTTGACCTGTAACGTATTTGCAGATGGCATTGAGAAAGGAACAGGGCGGATGAAGTCATCTACCCTCCACAGCAGGGCCTGTGCTGGCGTGCACAGGGAATTAACAAAAGAGAAAACCATAGCAACCCCAGCACTCCTTCTGGTGAGCGGTGCACAGCCCTGCAGAGCTACCTGGGGCCCTCTGCACACGTGGGGCCTGCTGGCAGGGCTATGCTTGCCTGCTCTTGCAGCACAGCCAGCAACAGCAGCTTTAGCAGCGCTGTGCAAATACCAAGTGCATCCACAAAGGGATGGGGAAGCCATTTGGCTTAGCAATGCAGGGCTGCTGGGAGACGCTGCTGAAACCTCCCTGCAGCCTACAGTTGCTGGGTGTCCGTCTGTCAGGCTACTGAGTGTCCCACTGTCCAGCGAAGCGCAAGGCTGATGCCACCCAAACACCGAGCAGAACGCTTTCCACTCAACTGGGTCATTGCCTTTGTGTTCAAACCCCATCCAGCCGATTTTTGCACCTGCAAAAGCCCAGCGGTGATGATTTTCAATCTGGCCCTTCCCTTAGGGACCGTGAGCACAAGCACAGCTCCAGTGAGAAGGAGTCACACCGGCAGCGGGACCGGCAGCGCCGGCGCTCCTATTCCCCCCTGAGGAAACGCAGGAGGGACTCCCCCAGCCACCTGGAGGCCCGGCGCATCACCAGGTATGGAGACATCACACCTGGAGCACATGAGCCGCTTTCTGTCCCCAGCCATCTCTGGTGCAGGTTGCTCCAGGATCACAATGTTTTCCCTAACCCTAACTCTGCCTCCCCTCCAGCTGGGGGATCTGCAGCTGGAAGCAGAAGGAGGATGCAGGGGTTTCATTTACAACCACAGAAGAAAAAGGGCAGATAAATCAGAGCAGGGATTCACCCACCCATCAAGTACAAGGTGCAGAAGGATTTTGCTTCACCCTTTCCCATGGCAGATGTCCCATGCTATAGACAGTCAAGTTTGACTCTAATTCTCAAGCTGAGGGCTTTTTGGGAAAACATCAGGCAGAGCCTCAGACTTGATGGATGGCGGCCATGGGGGTGGTTGGCTGGAATCCCAACGCCTACCAGCTACCTGCAAATAAAACCAGACGAATCTGAGAGGTGTCATGCAGAGTATACAACATATTTTGAAGATCTTGGCAATAAATCTGTCCTTGCGTTCCTGGTAATTCTGCATCTCTCTGTCCCCACAGCGCCCGCAAACGTCCCATCCCCTACTACCGGCCCAGCCCGTCCTCCTCCAGCAGCGCCAGCAGCTATTCCTCCTGGTACAGCAGTCTCAGCCGCTCCCCCAGCCGGAGCAGGAGCTACTCCAGCCACCGGTCGAGCCGCAGCCGCAGCTGGAGCAGCAGCAGTGCAGAGAGCAGGAGCCGCAGCAGGAGCTCAGGCCCCAGGAGCAGCCGCAGCCGGAGCAGGAGCTGTGACTCAGGAGGCAGCTCCGACAGCCTGCGTCGCTAAGGAGTGCCGCCGGCATCACTGAATTCCTTGCGTTCTCCACATCCTTCCCACCTACTTGGCCATCGATCGCAATCACCCCCGATACTGATGTGACAGCAGCACTGCGTCCCCTTTTCTCATTATGGATGGAGTAAGAGCCCTCGTGCTCCTGGAACAGCCCCTCTGCTGCCTCGCAGTGAGGGTGGATCCATGCAGCTCCCCCAGCCAGAGCTGGGGCTGGAAGAGGGGCCAGTGCCCTACAGAGGCTCTGCAGGCCCTACAGGGTCCATCCTCCTGACATCCCCATCTCCCCATCGCTGCCTCTCTGCGACAGCTGCCAGCTGCTCCAAAGGAAGAAGATTTTGCCCTTCTCTTGCCAAAAGCGGGAGCCAGCGAATTAAATCCCTCTGGAGGAAGAGACACATTTAGGGAGGAATTTGCTGGGAAGCTTTGGTGATGAGTGGACGTGACCTGTCCCCCTCAAGGCAAATATCAGGTCCCTGATATTGGATCTCTCCTCCCGAGATTCTGCCCACTCTGCAGCAGGTCTCTGCCATGAGCATATTTATTTATTTCCATACACCCAACTCTGCTATAAATAGAAGGCTAGAAATCCCTCCTGACATTAATTTCTGCGGGGGAAAAAAGCTATGCCCCCTCTCTTTCTCCTGCCCTTTTCTAACAGGGTGTTACACATCCACCTTTCACAGGGCTGCTCTGTTCCCCTCCATCAGTGTGATCGCTGAGAGGAGACACAGCAGAGGGAAGTCAGTGCTGCAGAGTGAGCTGGGGCTGCACGGCTCGCATCTCAGAGACCCCCAACACCCCTCCCCCAAAATCGCCTGTTTTTTTCCCAGGATCTGGGAGAGCCCTGCCTGCCTGGGCGGCCCTGCGGTTTTGTCTCCCTGCCAGGCTTGCCAGCCCAGCTGCCTGTGCAATTACTGTGTTTTGCAGAGCAACAAAGGCTTCTCCTAGCACGGGCTGAGCCGGTGCTGAGGATTTTCTTTCTCTTACAACACCTGGGTGCTTAGAGACGCTAATTTAGGTCTAAGACTTCCCTCCCTCCCTTTTTCCATCCCCTCCCCTTCCATCCTGTGTGATCATTAACGAGTTTGGGCTTAATGAGTCAAGGAGGTGTGTCATTAAAGTGTCACAGGAAAGGGCTAAGGGCAGCCAGCATCTGCCAGAGGGGGAGAGGGGTGGAAGGAAAGGCAAACCCACAGCCAGAGAGTTACCCACGGCTCCCACTGGCAGCAAGTAAAGCTGTGAGCGAGGTAAGGTCAAACACAACCTGGATGATTGCCTTATCGAGCATATGAACGTGTTATCAGTTGGAAAACACAGCAGGAAGGTTTATACTTCTGTGCAGCTGATGCAAGGGGAAATTTGATAACAGGGGCCCTTTTTCCCGTCTCCTTCTCACTGCAAACCCCTCAGGCTGTGGTTGAGAATTACAGACGAGGTGTTCTTGCAGCGGGTGCTGCTGCCTTCCCCCCATCCCGGCCCCACAGCAGCCCCTGGCTTCTCTGGTGGGGAGCACCCTTCTTGTAAAGGGCTGAGAACCCCATGCTTCTTTCTTAGGGAGTCCCTCCCAGTTTGGCATTGTCACCCTGTAGCACTCCATGAAAGGTCTGATATCAGCAACCAGAGGCCAAATCCCAAATCTGTGGGTCTCTTCATTCCCCTCCGTGCCCCCAAATGCCGGCATGCACCTGCAGCAGCGAGCCGGATGGGCAACAGCTGGGAAAGCAAAGAGCTTTGTGCAAGCAGTGCAAACAGTCCAACTACATTGAGCCGAGTTCCTGGTGGGATGGAGAACAAACACAGTGCTGGAGGCAGCAGCACACGCTGGCTACGGGACAAAGAGGTGCCACGTGGCTCTGGTACCCATCCACCTGCACAGCCGGTGGCAGCTGAAGGCTCTCCAGCATCGGAGCAAAACCTCTTTATTTATTTATTAATTATTTATTGACGCACTTATTTATTATCAGTCGCGTTCTGTTTCTAATGGCTGTGGTCGGGACAGACGCGAGCGGTCGCCATCGGCAGTATTTATTTATTTATTCTGGAGGGCAAAGGAAGGAGCAAGGAGTTATCGGGGCTCTCTGTGCTTGTTTGGGTCCTCCCCATCGCATGGAGGTTCCCAGTGCTGGCCCTGCACTGGCAGGAGGAAGGACTTCCCCGCGTTGTTTTGCATTGTGATCCACCCATGGAAAATCTGAGGTTGGGCCGTGAGAGCACGGGAGGTGCCTGCAAATCCAGCCCGGTGACAGCACTAACTGCGTCTGTGTGTGCGTGTGTGTGTGCATATGTTTCCTCAGTGGTATTTCTCTCTTTATTTTTTAACTTATTTAAGGTTTTTGGTACAACGCGCATCATCGCCCGTCCTGTCAGTGGGTTTTCTGTCACTTTGCAAGAAGCCTGTGAGCTTTTCTGTCTCTGTGCCTTTTGCCAGTGCTTCTTTTGTTGTATGCTCACTCACTCGTTGCTTTTATGGGATTTTTACTCCTTGACCAGCGTCTCAGGTTGCTGTTGTTTGCATGGAGCAGCTTCTGCCCTGGGGCAGTTCAGCCCTTTGGGTGAACACAAATTGCTGCTCATTGGCACTGGGGCTGCACACCAAGAGCTTTGAGGCAGTGTGTTGGCCGCCTCTCAGAAGTGCCATCTCAGAGGGTTTTCTTTCTTCGTCCTTCCTGCCCGTTGCGTTGTTTCCATCCCAAGTGCCCTGGTTGCCTTTCCACAGCAGAGCACATGATGCAGTGTCCCCCCCCTGGGATGCTTCCCGCTCACTCAACCCCCAGGCTCCTTCCTTTCCCACCCCACACACCAGGTCAGGCTGCAGCAAACCCAGCCCAGCCCCTGAAGTGTTGCTGCAAAGCGTAGAGGAAGGATATTTCAGTGCACTGTTGTGTCATTCCATTTGGCCACGGGTTGCGTCGCTCAGCTGTGCTCTGCTTTATGTTGACCGTAACTTTTCTCAATGTTTCTGTTGTTTTGGGCGACTGAAGTTGTACCAAACCCATCTGCAATGGCCAATCGATGTTATTTTGCTATGCATTGTACATAGATCGAAAAGGCTGAGAGGACTTGGCCTCTTATTTAATATTTATTTCTCCTATTTATTGAGCATTACTTAGGAAAGCTGTTCGAGTCTCACCGTTGGCTCCATGGGATATTTGAGAAAGGGACAATTTTAGGTGCCAGACTGAAGTCCTTAATGTCCAGCAGGGTTGTGTTATCTGTGTGATAGAGGATGAACAAATCCTGTGACTTTTGCAGCTACCTGGAAGTCTGTGTGTGACCAGGATGATCTCTGAAGCACTGCAACATCCACTGCTGTAGCAACAGCTCCGCGATAAAGCAGCCTAAATTTTGGACTGTTGTAGAGAACAGCACCTTGAGCCCCATCCAGGGAATGGAGAGATTTAGAACAAAAGCCCAGACAGGAGAAAAGCTGCCAGGGAAACCGTGTCCCTGTTTTCTCTGCTGGTCAATTCCTTACCAAATCATACCGGCACATCTGTTCATTCGACTTCACTGTAAAACTACCTTTGCTCTCCATGGAAATGCATACTGTATTCTTTAGTCTTCCTGGGGTATTCGAGTCGTTAGCCTGTTTAGAAAAGGGTTCCAATAAAAGTTCAGATGATATCTGGTTCACATCGCAGCCTGGTTTCTCGTGTTCCTTTTGGATGGGGCTTGGTGCAGTGGGATATTTTGGGTTGTTTCAGCTGCTGGGTGCAGCAGGGCATGTGCTTGCGCTCTCAGCTGCTGGGGATGAGGTCCTTGGGGCACGGGCTGAAGCTGAACTGTTGTGAGCTCAGATTCCTGCCAGCTGGGTCAGGCTTTCGCTGCCCTTTGCTGTGCGATTTGGGTCATCCTCAGCTCACAGACAGCGCAAGCCAGTAGTGTAGATCTCACACCAATTTGGGGGCGATGGGGATGCTCTGTGTCCCCTGATAGTACCAGCCACCAAGTCCTGCTGGCAGCTGAGATGTGCACCTGGGAAGGTTCTGGGCACAGCACAGACGTGGGGCAGTGTCCCCAGGTCGCTTGGCAGACAGGAGGGCTTTGCGCTCCCCAGAGCTGACGTGGCGGTGCTGGCAACTGTGGGAGGTGACTGGGAGATTTGGAGTGACAACAGGAGCTAAATTGGGATCCCTGGAGAGGGACGTGTGACTAATGGGGATAAGCAAGGCGACAAGATGGATTCCTGGCCTGGGAGGGAGGATGGCCTGGAGCTACTTGGGAAACATGGGACTGGAGATCTCGGGGTGAAATGTGGCTGGGATGGAAGCGGCCACGGGGCTGTCCCAAACTGTGTGCTGGTGTCACCCCTGGAATAGCTGGTGTCACTTCGGGTGATGGGAACGCTCAGTCAGGCAGGGCAGAAGATAGAGGAGGACACTTCAGCCTTTGCTGACTGCTGCTTCTCAGCTCCTCCCCGCATCTCCAGTCATACCCCAGTCCCCAGGGAGACCCCGCAATGCCTGGCTGTGTCTTCCCACACACACCAGTGAAGGAGATGAGGAATAAGAGATGCTCCCCATGCAGGCAAAGGCAGCTCCCTGTCCAGCAGTGCCACGTCGCTGCTCCATGATTAATACCCTCTGAGCGACCAGCAGCCGCATCGCAGCGTGGCCCACAGCGCGTTACGGCCTTCCTGCTGCAATTTGTTCCAGCAAGTCCATTAGAGAGATTGCAGATGCTGAAGAAAGCAAGGTAGAGACAGGAGGGAGCGAGGAAGCAGTGCAGCATCCGGCGCATCATTGCTGACACTCATCGGCGTGCCGGAACCCCTGTGCAGGAACCCTGCTGCCACCAGGCACCCCAGTGCCACCAGCGCCAGGTACCCCGCCGCACCCCATCCCCTGCAGCCCTGTAATTAGCCCCGCGCGGCTGTGATTACGCCTCGCCCTGCTGCGGCGCAGCCAGGCACGCGATGAGGAGGAGGAGGAGGAGGGCGAGGACGGGGCCACGTAGGGTCCCACTCCCACACCAATGATTCTGGGGCATTGCTCCGGGCCCAGCCCCAGGCATCAGCCCACAATCCCAGCCACTTTTTGCTGGTGACGCATCTCCGGGTGCAGCGGGTGTACAGTGCGGGGCCCGGCCCCACCTGGGGTATTTTTGATGGATGACACAGGGGTGCAGGCAGCCCACCCTGAGCTCCCCGGTTATTTTTAGGCAGGTGCCGAGAACCCTGCGCCAGCCGGGATCCTCAGGCCGGCGCGAGAGGTCAGCTGCACAGCCCAGATTCTCCACGGCTGTTTCATCCTCTCCAAAATACTCGGCTGACAGGGCAGGAATTGCAAAACACAGCCTCCCCCCCCCCCGCAGCGTATAAATAGCGCTCGCCCGGCGGTGGAAGGTTGCAGAAGTTTCTCGGCTCCGAGCTCAGGCATTTATTGCGGCTCTCGCCCAGGAGCGGTGGGGACACGGCGCAGTGATTGTGGGAGCGAGAGGGGAGAGATAAGCTTTTAATCTCGGGATATTCGGTTTGATTTTTTTTTTTTTTTTCTCCCTCTCTGGACAAGAAGTTTTATTTTCCTCCGCCCGATCCCTGGGACCGAAGCCAACCAGGAAGCGTTTTCTTGCAGCCCACACCGTCCTCCCCACACTTGCTTTCCAAGCTCCGGATGCTTCAGCCCTGCTGAACCTCTTCCACCCATCGCGCTCTGCCCGGTGCCGGGCTCCCACCCAAACCCCCGTGCGTGGATGCGCCTGCCCTGGGCCAGGCTCCCCGGGGTATTCCGCAGCATTTGAGGCTCCACGAGGAGCACAGAGCCATGGCCGACAGCCAGCTGCCCTTCTCCTGCCATTACCCCGGCCGGCGGAGCCTCCGCGACCCATTCCGAGAGCCCGGTTTGACCTCGCGCCTCCTGGACGATGATTTCGGCCTCTCACCCTTCCCTGGGGACCTGACGGCAGACTGGCCCGACTGGGCTCGGCCCCGGCTCACCCCCACCTGGCCGGGTCCCCTGCGTGCCCGCGCCTCCGCCATGGCCCCCGGCTACAGCGCCCGCTTTGGGGGGTACCCGGAGAGCCGCAGCCCCGCGCCCACCTCCCGTGAGCCCTGGAAGGTGTGCGTCAACGTGCACAGCTTCAAGCCTGAGGAGCTGACGGTCAAAACCAAGGATGGATACGTCGAGGTGTCAGGTGAGGGCTGGGGCGCGGGGAGTGGGATGGGGCTCGGGTGGCATGCTCAGTGCTGACGCTTCCTTTGGGGTGAATCTCTGGGATTTGTGTTCCAGCTGGCACTCGGCTGTGAGCTGCCGAGAGGGGCCCCAGCCTGGCTGGGTTAATTATAGCTGGCGAGGACGGAGCTGAGGGAGATTCCCTTTAAAGGGGCCGAGAGTGAGGCAGCCCAAAGCACCTCCCAGAGCTCCAGCGCTGCACCCTGGCCAGAGCACCTCCTGGGGCTGCCAGCACCATGCCAGGCCACAGCACTTCTTCCAGGGGCTGATCTGGGGGGACACTGTGGGTTGGAGGAATATGGGAGGCCTCAGAGCTTAAGCCCCATCTTGGTGAGACTCACACACAGCCCAACAGCACAGCAGAGCATGGGGAAAGGATCCAAAGATTTGATCATGTCTGATGGCTCCTTCTTAAGCCCTGGCTCCTGGCAGCAAGCAGGGCTCAGGCTCCATGGGAAGTAAAGGTGTCTGGCGGGGAAAGCAGCTCTTCCTCCTCCTCCTCCTCCAACCAGCGCAGCCTCACAGGCCAGGCACTCAGCGCTGTTCCTTGTTGGATGTGGTGTATCCCTCCTCACGTGGGAGACACTCATGGAGGGAAGGGAAAACATCTGGTTTGGAAGAGCTCCTGGGGTTTGTTTGTTTTGCTTGTTGGGTTGAGCCCTGAGCCCAGTGCGCCGGTGACACGCCTTTGTTCCCCCCCCAGGCAAACACGAGGAGCAGCAGGTGGAAGGAGGCATCGTCTCCAAGAACTTCACCAAGAAAATTCAGTAGGTATCACCCTGCCCCCGGGCGTCCTCCCACGAGCACAGCCCCATCCCCATGAGCCCTGCTTTTCCCATCCCAAAACCAGCCCTGTGGGCTCCTCCAGCCCAGATATGAAAGTAGAAAGGGGTGCAAAGCACCGTGCTCCTATTTTGGGGCTGATCCCATCACCACCCCCAAAATACACCGGTCCCCAGTGTGCAGCTACACGTGCACCCGCATCCGCATCCGAGTGATGTCAGTCTGATCGCTATCGCGCTGACTCACCCCAGCAACAACAACAGCGGGGAGGGAAGGCGAGCCCAACTCTGAGGGCAAAGCACAGCGGTGCAGCAGCGGTTCTGCAGCTTCGCTTTACCAAAACCTCCCAGCAGAGCCGCGTGCGCAGCGGGTGGGAGCCAGCAGCCGGGCTCCTTTTATGGGCAAGGCACGGGTGCGACGCAGCAGCCAGGCGAGCGCGGGCGGCAGCGACGTCCCATCAGACACATCTGCCACGGAGATTAAACAGAGCGCCAGGCAGCCCAGAGGCCTCTTTAATATCCCCATGCATTCCCAGGGGCTGCAGTAGTAACACGAGTGGGGGCATTGAGCCCGGCCGGGGGTCTTGCAGGGCAATCTCAGAAGGCTGCGAGCCACATGGCTGCACCATCTCCTAACCCCACACATCTCTCTGTCCCCCTCCAGGCTGCCCTATGAGGTGGACCCCATCACTGTCTTCGCCTCCTTGTCGCCGGAGGGGCTGCTGATCATCGAGGCTCCCCAGATCCCCCCCTACCAGCAGTATGGCGAGGGCAGCTGCAGCAGCGACATCCCATTGGAGAACCCAGAGGCCACCTGTGCCTGAGGGCCCCTGTGCCCCTTCTCCATTTCCCCGACCCTATTCCCCCCCAGCCCCGCTCCCCGGGCCCCAGCGGGGTGGCCCCGGGGCACGGCCTCTCCCGCCCCCTGGGAGCAGCTGCCCCACAGTGGTCTGACACTCTGGTAGAGGCTTTGCATCCATCAGACCCAGCAGAACGGGTGTCTTCGTTACGGTTCTTTTTATGCTGCAAGGTGAGCAGATGGGATGTTTGTAACAATAGTGAAAAAGTGCCCTTTTCTCTTCTTAAGTTGAAGTGGAATCCCGTGGTCCTGCGTCTTCTTCTTCTCTGTTTTTGGTTTTGTTTTGAACTCCATCTCCACGCCGGCCCCTTGGCAGCCCGCAGACATGCAGCCGGCAGTGGGGCCAATGGCACAGCCCTGTCCCAGACAGACAAACCCCCACCAGACCTGCTGAGAAGTGTAAACTGTCTGCATGTTTTGTTTTTGTTTTTGTTTTTGTTTCCTTTTTCCAAAAAGAACTTGTGATTTTACTTATCAGACTTGAGGAATAAAGATGAGTTGATGTTCTTAGCCTCTGCTGGTCTTGGCTGGGAGGTAAGGGTAGGGGGGCTGGGGATGCTCTAGACACTCTTTGCCCTCCGTATGGGCTCTGTGCCCTTTTCCTGGCTGGGGACACAAAGCAGCCCTCTGAGCCAGGGAAGCTGTGTTTGTCCTCACACCATCCCCACTCACATCTCCCCCCACCAGCTCCTGGCTGCAGCCCAACCCTGCAACCCAATGCCCAGGCACAGCAAAGTGGTGATGCCAAAAGGGGCAGACACCCAGTTTTCCATGTCAGTGGGACCTTGGAGTTAAAAATACAGCTCACATGTTGCGCTTGGGCTCGCTCAGGGCTCAGTTACCAACAACAGCCACAGCATGTGCTATAAATCCTGGCCCTGGCGTTGCATTCCCCCCAACACAGCAGCCTTGCTCACACTGCAGGGGGGGGATGTGCTGCACCCTGGTGCCTGGGTGGGGCTCCAGCCCTGGGGGCACAGGGGGCCCTGGTTCTGCTCTTTGGAGCTGCTGGGTGGGTTTTGTGCATGGCTGAAAGGGAGGGCACAGATAAAGAGAAAACTCAACAAATATCCCCAAACATTGGTGGCTGGTGACTGCCTATGTGGGCTGTGCCCTCAGCTTTCTCTCCTGCTCATCTGCAACTGGGGGAAAGAGGTTTTATTTCTTTATTCCCTCTGCTTTGTTTGATTCTGCTTCCTGATGAATTCCTTAATAATATCTAACGAAGAATATTGAGAAGTGTGCCTGGAATCACTTCCTAATGCCATCAGCAATCAGCAAGGAAGATCTGGTAGGCAGGCGGTGCGTCGGGCCCCTTTGCCAAGCAATGAAAGAAGCGAAGCTCAGTGCTTTTTTAAGCACTACCTGAGTGTTGAAGAGAGGGACTTTTTAGCAGTAAATACTGCTACGTGTGGTTCAGGGGGTGATACAGCAGCTTTGGAAGCGCGGTGGCATTTCAGCATTGAGGCTGATGCTCAGGGCCGTTTGTCTGCCGCAGCCCTGGGTGAGATAACACTGCCAAACCATCAGAGCTGTGTAACACTGCAATGGCCGCTCCGCCAATTACATTCCATTTTTATGGTCTCACAGCAATTACCCTGCGTTTTATGGTGCCGTAACGTATTAGGCTTTATGGCTTCATACCCGCTGCAGCACGGAGCCTCTGCATGGGGAGCAGGGAGCACCAGAAGCCTCCTGAGTCCCAGGGATGTGGCCCCACTTGGAGGAAGAAGCCCTCAGCGTGTCCCTGAGGGTTTATATTCCAAAAATGGAAATGAGGAGCTGAATGGATTCATTTTGCTGGCAGTGTGCGGGGCAGGGTAAACAACACAGAAGCAGCTCCAGGGTGGTCCGAACGCATCAGGCACCCTCAGAGGCCCTTCTTCTTCCCATAGCCAAGGGTGTCTGCGCCCCCCAATTGCTCAGCTACCTCCTGCCCCATTTCCAGGCTGGCATCAGGCAGCTCTGCCCCTATGACCCCCTGTAGCTCCTCTGTGGTTGTCCTACGACACCCCCCTCCAACCTCTGTTTCTACTTCCTTGTTTTGGAGATTTCTCTCTGCTGCATCCCTGCAGAGCAAATCTCAGCCTGCAGAAGAGCTCGCGAAAACAATAAATTACAACTAAAACAGTGGAGTGAATCAAGTTAAAGTATCTCTGTGGTGAAGGTAAAGTGAGGCACTGAGCAAAATGACATGCAAAGCCCCATGCTGGGCTTTGGGTCATTCCCATTCATAGTGGGGTCAGTGCAGTGCTTGTACTGGGGGGGGGGGGCAGCAGGCAAGAAGCTGGATGTCCCCCACTTTGTTTCCTTCTGTTCCATTTGCACCATGCACTGTGGATCCAGGATCTTATTACTTCTCATCCCATCGCTTCAACATGTATAGCCATGGCTAAATGACTCCCGTGCCTCATTAGCAATGGGATCAACTGCTGTGTTGGCTCTGAGGTGCTTCTCTTCCTGCCTCAAACACCCCAATCCAAAGGGGGCACCTTGGGGCTCCTGCTCTGCAAAGAGAATTTTGGGAGGATCTCCCCATGCTTCTCACTGGGCTCAACTCCAAAGGCCCCAGAAGCAAAGGGCATACAGGGCATGGCCAGGGTACTGCTGGTAGCCAACAGGAAGGGATGCTGCTCCAGTACAGAAGGAATGAATGAGTTTCATTACGCTGCAGTGATAAGCTCCAGACACTGGTAATGGTGCTTAATGGATCTAATGCACTTCTCATGGTTGTGCATCACCAACACACCCCTGGAGACCACTCACTCCCACTGCTGCTCAGTGCTTTTGAGACTAAAAACGAGCATAAAAGTGGCATGTGGGGTCCGGGGGGTTGTGATGCTTGGGTTCCGAACCCAACCCCAGCCTACCCCGTATACCCACAGTGCCACATCCCCACGGTTCCAAAACACCTCCAGGGATGGAAAGCCCACCCCCCGTGGGCAGCTCTGCCAGTGAGGGGAGGGGGCGGCCCTCAGGAGGGGTCAGGGTCGGGGTCCGGAGGGGGGGGCAGGGCGAGCCGTGATGTTGCAGCTATGGGGCTGAAGGGGTTTGTGCTCTGCGGAGGGAGGTGCTCGGCTCTGTGTACTGCCGTTCCCTGGGAGACGGGGTGGGTGTTGGGTTCCCAGGCAGAGAAGGGTTTTGTTGTTGTGGAAGGAGTGCTGGGGTTCGTCAGCGGCTGCTGCTGGGTGTTGGAAGTTGTAAAGGAGGTTTGCAAGGAGGTTGCAGCAGAGGTTTGTCGTCATGGCTGGGAAAGTAAAGTTTGCAATAGTATAAGGAGCACAAACTGCTCCTGTGCTGGAGCAATGCCGGCACCGGGCGTGCCCAAAATCAGCAGAGCTGAGGCACCTGTGGCAGCTAACACTGAGCTCAGGGCTGCTGCGCTGCCAGAGCCACCCAAGGACGGAGGAACCAAGGTACCAACAGCCTGCAAAGCACTGAACCCCAGAGACTTCGTGCGCGTTCAGCCTCTGCCTGCTTTGGCTGAGAGAGAAGGGAAGGTGCTGGCCAGGAGCCGGGCGCTGTACAGGAGCAGCGGGCCGCCGTCAGAGCAAGTGTGCTGGGAGAAGTGGCACCGGAGGGAACGGCAGCGCACGCAGGGGCTCTTCACCCCCCGAGGGAAGCCCTACCAGGAGCTGGGCGAGCTGCTGTGCACCGACCCAAAGCAGCTCACCCTGCGCTCTTTGGGACAGCTCGCACAGGTAGAGCCGGCTTTCTGCTCGTCTTTGCATAGGAAACAAAGAAACAAAAACTTTCTAAGTCCCCGCTGGCAGGGAGGAGAATGGTTGCTTCTGTTTCAGTCAGTGTTCCCTGCCTTGCTGTGGTGTGGACAGTGGGAGGGGGGGAACCGTTCTGAGGGTGTGAGGATGAAGGGTTAAAAAACAGGAGTGGACAGTGCTGGGATTTAAAGGGTGGGTAAAAGGCTTGAAGTTGTGGATGCCCCGTCCCTGGAGGTGTCCAAAGCCAGGTTGGATGGGGCCCTGGGCAGCCTGGTCTGGTATTAGACACAGGGTTTGGCAGCCCTGCCTGCAGCAGGGGGGTTGGAGCTTGGTGATGCTTGAGGTCCCTTCCAACCCAATCCTATGATCCTCTAGGGGTGCTCTGTAGCCAATTCTGAACTCTGCTACTTCGCGTTTTGACCACATTAGCACGTTAAAGGCATGCTGAAAGCACCAAAAAGGTTTGAAAGTCTTTCTTTTCCCCTCCTAAGAAGCAGCGGTTACTGCATTTGGAAAACAAAGCACTTGCCTGGCACTGAATCTGACCAGTCCTGTGCTTTGCGCCATGCCCAAAAGTCAGGGAGGGCCCAGAACTTCAGGCTGTTCTCCCTCCCAGTCTCCTTATTTAAGTTGTCAGCGTGCTCTGCAGAAACCAATTTAAGCTTTTATTTTCTTTTCTCAAATATACAAAACCAAAACCGTGTTCCTACGGCCCGATTTAAAAGTACTTTATGACCTGCATTTTGTTTTGTATTTACCCCCAATCCTTCCCTCCCTTAGCTGTCTCTGTAGTATCCTGAATACCTTGAGAAGATTGTAGATACCAGATGCATCTAATTCCAGGTGTCTGAGACTGCTAAGAAATATGTTGTATTTGATTAATGCATTTGTACTCATCTCTGCATTCTGAGTTTGCATTTTCTTCAGCGAGAGGCAGAGCTGATAATTTGCAGTGGTGGATGGCAGTAAAATTTGTAAACAGCAAGGAGATAATAAAGGCCCTGGGCATTCAGGGGGCTTGGGTATGCTAATATCTGCTGGCAAATGTCACTTTGTAAACTGATATGATTTCAAAAAAAGAAGTCCTTAACAGCTAAAAACATTTTTGTAATGAGCGTGCTGGGATGGTTACACAAAATGATATGGGCAGAGGATATTATATGTGATAATTGCATGTTTAGGGTCCTTTTTATAGCTGCTTGATGCCAACAAATGTGTTTAGAGAAGCTGTGTATGTCCATTGATGCTTTTTGTGTCTTTATTAAGTAAATTTGATGGCTGAAGCCTTAGAATGGATATTTCGGTGTTCTGACTGTTGCATTGGAAGCTGCTGTTCTGTGATCACACAGTGAAAGTGGCACCTGTCTGCCAATAAAAGCTGGCTCTGTGAAGTGACAGAATCCCCTTCCATTGCAGCCCTTTGGGATGAAAGGAGCCCATTTCCATACTAGTAAGAGTATCGGAGAGTGTTGGAGGGAGGTTGGTGGCCCTGCCTGTGGCAGGGGGTTGAAAATTGATGATCCTTGAGGTCCCTTCCAACACAAGCCATTCTATGAACCTTTTGAACATCCAGTGCAAATAATTGGAAGTTACTTCATACAGTCTGAGATTTTTTTTTTCTCTCTTTCTCAAAGGTCAGGCATTGCATTGCATTGCATTGCAGACAGCACTGATTCGTGGCAAGTCAAAGAACGTCACTTTCCAGACAGTATTTTTGATCTTTCTAAGCATTCAGAGCAATGTGTTAAAGGTCTTTTTCTTATTCCCTCATGTGACAGTGCGCGGTGATTGGTCGCCTTTTATCAATGTTTAAATAGCTTTTTTTGCCTTAATTGCTATGACAAATTCATTTGTTAAGCTTTTGAAGTGGCTTGTTGACTTTTCACATGGAAGAGAGGTGGCCTTTCTGACAGAGCCCTAAAAACAATCCAGGCTCACAAAATTATTACTGCCAAAGCCTGCTCTGTGCTTGTCATAAAAACCTATACTGTAATTCTGTGCTTTAGGTAAATAGATCACTAGATAAGATTGACAGCAACATCAGCAAAGGAAGGTTTTAAGCTGGAAACCGGAGAAGAAAATGGAGCAATTTCTTTCAAGATAAATTACACTGATGTTATTTGTTATTGCTGCAGTTAAAGATCTGTCAGGGTATCCGATCTAATATTTCGCTTCCCAGAAGACTGAAGAGATGTATTGCAAGGCAGAACTTAGAATGCAAAGAGCCTTTTCCCTCTCTGATGTCAAGGTTAGTTGTAATTCCTTGTTGCTCCGGGAAGAGCAGGAAAACATTGTTGTGGTGGCTCACTGATATCCCTGGAACGGGGAAACTGGTCAGACCAGGCTGTGTGTGGCGGCGTTCCTAATGACTTCCAAATTGCATAACCCACATAGGGTTGTTTGGGTGACCCAAGTCTCAAGCCTACCTCTGTGAAATGGTGGGCCCCAATCTTTTCTTACTGAAGAGCAAACAACAACAACGAAAGCAATGGCTTACTGGGGTGCATTAAAAAGAGCGTGGCCAGCAGGTCAAAGGAGGTGATCCTCCCCCTCTACTTTGCCCTGGTGAGGCCTCATCTGGAGCACTGCGTCCAGTTCTGGGCTCCCCGGTACAAAACAGACAGGGATCTCTTGGAAAGAGTCCAGCGGAGGGCCACGAAGATGGTGAAGGGCCTGGAGCATCTCTGCTATGAGGAAAGGCTGAGTGAACTGGGTCTGTTCAGCCTTGAGAAAAGGAGACTGAGAGGGGACCTGATCCAGGTCTATAAATATCTGAGGTGTGGGGGGCAGAATGGCGAGGCCGGACTGTTTTCAGTGGTGAGTGGAGACAGGACAAGGGGAAACGGCCGGAAACTGCAGCATAGGAAGTTCTGCACCAATGTGCACAGGAACTTCTTTACAGTGAGGTGACGGAGCACTGGAACAGGCTGCCCAGGGAGGTGGTGGAGTCTCCTTCTCTGGAGATGTTCAAGACCTGCCTGGATGCCGACCTGTGCGACCTGGTGTAGGGAACTGCTTTGGCAGGGGGTTGGACTCGATGATCTCTGGAGGTCCCTTCCAACCCCTACAATTCTGTGATGCTGTGATTCTGTGATTTACGTTAGGTCTTGAAAAAACTGTGGGAATATCTTGAAACCTCCTTCCCAAGACAAGGTGGAATTTCAATGGAATAGCAAAGTGTAATATTTCTATCAGTTATTAAGCCACCAAACACCAATGCTTTCTCCTGCAGTTGCTATCTGAGGTAGGTAACTCACAAGGATGGATGTTGCTCAGCCTGTTCTTCCAGCAGTGCCAAAGCATTGCATGAGATGTTCAGGTTTAAACATCTCTTGCTGCAGTGGGGTTGGTCACTGGTTGCTGGAATGTGACCCTTCTCTATGTCTTGCTGGAGGTGGTCTTAAAGTCTGTGTTAG